ATCATCATCAAAGCAATAGCAACCATTACTAAAGCTGGCGCCGCCTGCTTTATGAGGGTTATGTGGGATCTGTTTAAAATTGCTGGTTTTGTGTTCTCTCTAGAACAGGGTTCCTCAACCTTGGCAACTTTAAGGCGGGTGGACTTCTGGACTTGCTGACTAGGGAATTCTGGGAGTTGAAGTCACCCGTCTTAAAGTTGCCAAGGTTGAGGAACCCTGCTCTAGAATAAAGGATGTGCATGGGGTTATGTTGTCCCTGTCTTTTTGCCACATGAGACATTAAGAAGGACATTTTCCTCCCAGACATCTTTGTGGGGCTGGTGCAAGTGCGTATCCATATGTGCAAGTAATGTCTTGCAGAACTTCTCTTCTTAAACACACACTTACCCACACAGACATAGTGATCTCAGCTGGAGGGGGATCTTTGGAGCAGGGGAGGTTAAACCCTCTTCCCAGTCTGCCAACCCAGACATTCTCAAAGAGAGGCACCTCATGAGTAACTCTGAGTAACAAAGACAGGAACAGCCCTTTCATCACCTGCCAGTGAGTGGCTGACCTGTTTCTGCACTATCTGGAGAGAATTTAAAATCTCTTGGCAAGTGTGCCTCCCTGGCTTGGCCTCAAAACCATCCCATCTTACCCCTGACATTGACATCCCAGAGGGTCTGTTGATCTACGAGCCCTCGGGTGTCAATGATGGAAGCTGCATGGATGACAAGTGAGACCCCTTGGACTGCTGTTTGAAGAAGTGCCACATCCCGGATATCCCCTTGTATGACTGTCAAGAGAGTGTTCGTCTTCACTTCTGGAAGAAAAAAACACCAAATAAAGTAATGACTTGTATTGACCTTCCTTATGTTCATCATAAAGCAAGCAGTGCAGACCATCCTTAGAGTAGCGGAGAGATGTAAGCCCCTCTGGATGTTGCTGAGCTTTAATTCCCAACAGCCATCTAGTCAGATAACACAGAAGAATACAGGGCAGGGCGGCAATGGAGACCAGTTCAGCTGCCATGTCTCTGTCATTGTCCTGAAAAACAATTTTCTTCAATGCCATTGAAAGAGAAACCCTGACTCGGGTCAAGACTGCAGTGAACTGTGGCTCTCCATCTTATCTGAAGATAAGTTGGTGCATGAAGATATCTTTTGCTACATGCACAAGGACAGGCTCAGTCAGCAACAGATTGTCTTAAGGGCAGAGGAGGTATGTCCCCAAAGAAGGTGTCTCTTTACCTTAGCACATTGTACTGGAGATTGGACCAAGTAGTAGGATACAGCCCTGGGGATCCTAGGAAGAGCATAGCCTCTTTCCTTGCTACCAAAGGTCAGAGGAAGAGAGCCTGGGCCCAGCTAAGACTTATGGAAACTCATTTATGGCAGTGCCTGAGGCTTTTGCACCAGAACTACCATGGCTGCACCCTGAGGGACAAAATCAGCTGGACTCAGTCAGCAAACAAGCTGAGGTTCCTTTCTTACAACTCAGGCAGTTGATCGTCTTGAATATCTTTACCAGCCCTCTGAGGAAACATGCATAAAACGGAGCTGTTCAGTTAATAGCATAATACATGCAATGCATATTCCATACCTTTAAAAACACTATTACATTTGTCACATTGCAATCTATTACATAAATGATTGTGCTGACAGTAATCATGCTTTGAACATACTGCATTAACATTTGCTGAAGTAATTTCTTAGAAATGAACAAGAATAAATAAGGAATGTGTCTTATTTGACAACATTTATAAAAGTCTTAAGTACTGTAAAGCCCCAATGGGTTTCACATTACATCTATATTTTCCCAGCGTCAATAATAGATTGGAGTAAATATATTCAGTATTCTGTTTAGGAAATACATTCCAAAAATATAAATATTCTTGCGTTTCACTTTAGACATGATTTTTGATGCCTGTATTTCTATTTCCTATCCTATGAAACAAACGTTGAAACTACCTGTCACTACTGATTTAGACAGCTGCTTGCCCCTGCAGTGACTTGTTTCTGAATGAGAGGAGGGGTGGAAGTTTGTCAAGATCCCTTCAGGTTCTGGCCCTGGAAAGTGGCAGTTTTCTACCAAACTATGGGCAGTTGCTGAAGAAGGTCCTCTTGCTTGGTCAGAAATGCTGATGAGACTCTTTTGAACGTTTGCTAATGAACTAATGGACAAGGGTGTTTTCCCCAGATCTCTTTCACCAAAAGGACAGGCCACTCTCTTCTGGCTTTGCGGTGAGAGGAAAAAAGGCAGGCAGTTGGAAAGCAAACCCATTTACAGCAGCTAGCAAGGAAGTCCCTTCAGGAACATGAAGGCTTGGCAGGAACTGTGCAAATCCATATAGCCAAATAAATTCCTATTTTCAGTTGTCACTTACTAGTTTAAGTGCATGCCTGCTAAAGCTTACTTTTAAGCTTTTCTCTATTAACAATCCAAACAATATCTGATTTTCATTTTTTGTTAATCTGGATTTGCACACAAGTTTACAGGCACCACTGCTTTGGACATTGTGGAGATGACGTCTGTTCTTTCTTTAAAGCTAATCTTCTAATCCAGTTTGCACATACACACGCGTACGATGTACACTTCCTTTCAGTTAAAATTAAAATGTCAAGAAACATATCATAGATATTGTGAGGATAGGCTTCCTGGCAGAAAAGTTATGAAGAAATATGAATAATAAATATGAATTATCTAATTCAAAAAAAGTTTAATTTGGCCCAGGCTGCAGGGGTGGCTGGGTGGGCTCAGCTAACACTTCTTCAGACTTGAGGCTGAGACTCCGCTGATGGAATGCTCCTCCATAGAAGAAACATTTCTTATCATAGGAAACTAACATGTTAAAGAAACCTAATCTGGTTTGTTGTTAGTTGTTCTAGGTATTAAAAACAAAAACAAAAACAAAAAAAAACTGGAGAGGAGGTTTCCATCATGTGAACCTTCATCTGGCTTGGTTGAGAGACTGATTTTCCACCTGAGCAAAATGGGATGTTCCAGATGAGAAGCTTCTACAATATGGATTTGGATATTTCTTCCTGAGCATCCAAATTACCCTCTCCTTTCAACAAACTTACTTACTTCTAAAATCCTGGAGTGCTTCAGCGCTGATTGTTTTGTCCAAGACTCTGACTTCAGTCAAACTCTCATCTTCTGCCAGCAGCTGGCAAACAATCCTTTGACCCAGGAATCCACCCGCACCAGTCACCAGACACCTAATTCCTCCCAAGGACATGGTGCTGAGCAAGGAAATGGTGCAAGGGCAGCTGTTCCTCCAGAAACAAAAGTGAAAAAGAGACAGAGAGGGAAAAGTGCAGCAGAAACTTATGAGGGATAAGGGGGAGTTTTCAACAGGCAGACCTTGGACAAGTGGGAGTGTCTTCATAATCAAGGCTGTCTGCCTCTCTCTCTTCTTTTCCTCCTGCCCACTTCTGCTGAGTTACTACAAGCTTTTGAGATGAAACACAGGAACATTCTAATCTTTAGGAGTTACTAAACTGTACGATCTTTGGCCTCTGGCTGTGATCTATGGCTTGAGATAACAGTTGAAAGCTCTTGGCATTTGCAGGTTGTCTTCTCCTCCTGACCACTTCTACCTTGTTTCCAGCGAAGCCGTTCCTTCCATAGATAGTCCTCTCTTCTCTGCCAATTTGGATCATGTATTTTAATGGGCAGGTTTCTGAAAACCTGTATATAAATAAATAGCATCTTTGTTGGGTCTAGTTTTCAAAGACCAAGACTTTAGTGCTTTATCTATGGATTATTGGGTCCATGGGAAAACAGCTGTATTCTTCTGAGGGATGTTGTGCCCTGAGAGGTTTATTCCAGATTTTGAGCTGAAGAGAAAAATAATGCTGTTTCTCTTTTAAATTAAGTCAGAACTATCCATATAACCCACTGAACATCTTCCTGTTGAATGAACAAACAACTCTGACTTTATTCCTTGACATTTTTTACTCTCTCTTTGAGAGTACTATCCTTAAATATGGACCTGTCTACTTTCTTGGCCATAGTTGCTGCTTGAAATGGTGCAGGACTGGAAAAACCTGTTATCCCTTGATCTTGCAGAATATCTAAACTGATCCAATACTAGTAATGTAAGGATTGTCATGAAGGGGAAAGCTGGAAAGTTTCCTGGACAGGACAAACTCTCCCACACAAACATTATAAATGAAACCCTGCAGGATCAAACCAGAGATTTGGAACAACCAGCATCTTATTTCTCACCTGGCCAGCTAGTGGACTCTGGAAAATTGGCATTTATTCTCTCCCCCGCTTTTTTGCTGCCCTTAGGAACTAGTAATCACTGCTGTGACAATATATAACTCCTGGCTTCAACAAAACAAAACTGACTGTGTAAACTAGGCCTTTAGCTAATTCCCTTTATAGCTATCTAACTGATTAGCTAACTACTGTATGCTATAGCTTTGTGGCAGTGATTTTTTTTTTACCTTCGAGTCAGTCTTGACTCTTAGTGACTGCCTGACCAGTCCCTGCAGTTTTCTTGGCAAGATTTCAGGAGTGGTTTGCCCTTGCCTCCTTCCTAGGGCTGAGAGAGAGGGACTGGCCCAAAGTCATCCAGCTGGTTTCATGCCTAAGGCAGGGCTAGAACTCACGGTCTCCCAATTTCTAGCCTGGTGCATTAACCACTAGACCAAACCGGCTCTCTTTAATCTCTCAGATAATCTTACCTTACTGTATATAAAACTTCTTATCTTCCTTGAATCTTTGGTTGATAATATCAGGAAAAGATGCTGAACTCTTTCTAGCATTATGAAAGAAGGGGGGGAAAAACTTTCTTCAATCTGCCTTCTCCAAGCCATTCATAAAAATTGGACAAATCTTTCTAATGGCTTCCTTAAAATGAATATTTTTCTAATTCAAAAATACTTGTGGGGATGCTACTCCTGCATAATCTTTTTCAGCACTGGAATATCCTTTCTTCCCTTCTTAGAAGTATTTTATACCACTTCTCATTACAAAGAATCCCAGAGTAGCTTACCATACTCCAGTACCCTAAAAACATATGATGAATTCCTTCCTTCAGTAAAGTCCATAAAGATTTAATATTGCTGATCATTCATCCAAAAGAACAAACAGGGGAAACAAGGAATTTGTGCACAGGATTCAGAGTTGAATGACATTACACGCATATGTGTGCATGGGTATGACACAGATAGTTCACCATAGATGTAATGTCACACACAAAGTAATGGGTTGAAACTGCTATCATATTTAATTCCCAAGTTAACATTTTTCTTATTTAAAGCATGTTGCTTTTTTTCACCCCAGTGAGAAAGCTATTTTGCTGCATTTAAATTTAAAAATGTATGGTGGTGAAAGGACTGAATGACGCTATACAGTATGTCCTTTTTCTTCAGCTAGCCAAAGTCTTATCCCAGCCTGCTTTGGGATGAAAAAGCAAAACAGAATTTAAGATTCTTTGTGTTTTGATCATTCTCATTATTGCTCATAGCTCACCAATCCCTTTTCCAAGAACTGGAAGAACTTTTCTCACTGCCCTTGACTTCTGACTAGCATTACAAGAATGGCAATAGTCTTCCAACCATGTACAACTTGGAAATCATAAATGGATCTCACAGTCTTGAGATTAGAATTCATTGGAAATGTGGATGTTTGGGAAAGTTTCCCAAGGCCAGCTGAGGAAACAAACTAGATTGGCCAGAATCTGAGCCATCATAAAATCAACCTGGAGAAAAGCTTACATCTCTCAGAAATTAGGAGTGAAATACTACCTGAGAGAAATTAATCAACTTTTTTACAACTACACCTCTGAATTAATGACATTATGACTCAAGTTATTGCCCAAGGCCAATATCTTGGAAATAACCCCACTCATACATGCTGCTTCTGTCAGCTGGCCTTATCCGGCTGCGATGAAAGGATCCCACTTCCTCAGAATTCACATTTCTTGGGCAACCATTACAAATGTTCACCAGCCATCAAAGGAAATGAACTTCATTTGAAATTAATTCCCAGAAAGGAATTCCAATGAAAGAAATATTACATTGGTGACTGAAATTCAAAGGGAGTTTCTGAAGTATGCCAGGTTCAATTCTAACCCTAGAGGAAAACAGAATTCAGTGAGACTTTACATGTATAAGAGACTCTCTCTTATACATGTAAAGAGGTATATCAGACACTGAGATGATGTATCTCTTTACATGTATAAGAGAGAAGGAAAGTCTCAAGTCCTATTATTATAAACTCCCCAAATTGAAATAAAAGATACTTGCCAGTCAGTCAAGTGAGGTAAGTGATGGAAGGAAAAGTCTATCAAAAAAGTGAGGCCTCTGAAGATTCTTGGTTGGGTTATTTCTCTTCACTCAAGCTGCAGCTTACTATTTCTGTTATTAAGTAAAGGAAAGCCCAGCCAGTAGGTAGTGGCGAGAGATGGCATGGAAGGCCTTGTCATCAAACCCTCCCAGCATCCTTGAATGGCAGGTACTGTCCTATTCTTATCTGTTTTCCAAGAAGTGTTCTGTATTATTTTTAACTGGACACAATCCAGCTAAAATTAAGTACTATAAATTAAGTTTGTGCAAATCTTCAAGGGCTGCTTTGCTTCAATGAAGTTTTGAGCAACACACTCCCTCAGAGCTGCCTTGGGAAGCAAGATGGCCACCTTGCATCTAAGAGCAAAGAGAACATATTGCTTTGCTCTGCGTCACCAAGATTTTAGAGAATCTTGTAGAGGGTAGGCTTCTTGCTCCCCGGACCACTTGCCAAAACCTGATTGTTTTTTTAGTTTTACCATTTTTCTATGGAATTGCTACATCCTCTCATCAGGGCCAATCCTGCATAAAGAATTGCTTTATTTCATTACTTCATTACTTTTATTCATTACTTCCAGAATTAGAAATCTGGAAGAAAAGATTGAGAAGTAAACACAGCTCTGCTGTCCCATTTATTCACAACCCAGGGAGGTGTGGTGTTAATGTGCTGAACTTTGGCTGGATGTGGGTTAATGTCTCTATTCAGCAGAGAAGCATCCAGTGTGGCCTCAAGGTTCAGCTCCCTCCAGGCACAAGAAACCCATGAATGGAAACAGCTTTTCACATCTGCTGCATATGCAGTGAGACATGTATAAGAATACCCAGCCAAGCATATACAGTAGAACTGACTAAAGTTGCCTACAACTGCCTGGATCAGATCTGACATTTGGAGGTATCGCGAGATCTCTTGAATTAGATGTCAAGGTGAGTGATCAGAATGAGAAAAAAAAGTTTTTCCCCCTGTTTTGCTCCATCCTTTACCACCACTCCTGAAATTAAATTGAAATAACTGACTAGCATTTTCCTCCCACCCTCCCAATATCCATTTATCTGTGTACATGTATTTAACTTACAGAAAGGCAGAGTCTACTAGGAAAAACTCCCTACCAGTCTGTGGCAGAGTAGTTCAGCTGTGAAACTGAATTAAGGGGGGTGATGAGTGCCCTTTGATGAATATGTTCAAGCAGAGGTGTGTGTGTGTGTGTGGGGGGCATTTGTCTTGAGTTCTTTCAATTAGCTCCATGCATTAAGCCGGGGATTGGCTCCGATGGCTTAAATGGCTGCTTTCAAGTACATATGTTATATGATTCTATCAGTTGTCTAAGTTTGTCCAGTGATTTGCAAAAAAACAAACCAAACAAAATAAGACAAAAAATAATCCAGAGAGGCTGCCATATGAGATAATGGTGTTGACAAGGGAAGAGAAATGGAAAAAGTACAGGTGGTCCTCATTTAGCAACTGCCTTGTTTAGTGACTGTTTGCAGTCACCATGCTGATGAAGAAGTAACTTTGTGTCCAATTCTTGCTTTTCAGACCTTCTCAGATCTGTAAAGCAAAAGAAAGCTGAAGTAAGATTGTAAGCACAGTTGTGGTTACACTTAGTGACCACTTTGCTTAACAACCAGGTTGCCAGACCCAATTGTGGTTGCTAAACGAGGACCATGCTTCTACGACGGGGGCGCAATCAGTCTTTCCAAATGCAGAGCTACAGACAGAATCTATTCTGGGTGGCTGCAAGCATTGTAACTGCATTGCACTTTCTAAAGAAGACATACCAATAGTCCTCTGTTAATGATGATAATTGGGACCAGCAATTCCATCACTAAGTGATGCAGTTGTAAAATGCGACATCACATGACTGCACTGACTTACAACAGCAGTTCCGGCACTTCCAGTTGCCATTGTTAAGTGCATCCTGTGCAGTCGTTAAGTGCGATGTCTTGTGTAATGGTATGTGAGAATGACCTTGAGGGACGAGGGAAAGAGATGCTGCATGGGGAATGATCAGATAAACGGGGGAGGAGCCTACAG